ACAAGAGTTAACAATATCAAGTTCAAGCAGCTTATTTAGTTACTAACAACTTGGGCTCTGACTCCAGACTGTAAGGTTTGCATACTGGCCCTACCTATTTCTAGCTATGTGACTTCAGACACACTTCTTAATCTCTTTTTATATCACAGTCTTCCTTTGTAGAATGAGGATAGAAGTAGCACTTGCCTACAGAATTATTGTGACGTTTACAGAGTTATATGTAAAGTACCTTGTAGAGTGTGAAGCCCATTGTAAATGCAAAGCACATGTAGCTATTTTTATTGTAATGAATAGGACAAAGTTCCTGCTCTCCAGGAGTTAGCAGAAAAAAATCTAGGAAGAAAAAGACACAAAATAACTGCATAAGAGCATTAGGTGGTTTAATGCTAGGCCTACAGAGAGAGAGAGTGCTCTGATAATATTTGGTAGTGAATAGGTAGGTACCTTTGTGAGGAGAGATGACTTGCAAAAAAAGAGGCATTCTGAGTGGAAGGGTGAGCCAAGACAAGCAAAGGCTTGACAGTGGGACAGTTTCTATATACCTTTGGCTGACCTTGTAGCCCAGGCTGGCCCCAGACTTGTGGCAGTCCTTCTACTTCACAGCCTTCTGAATGTCAGGATTACAGGTACGAGAACAGTACTTGGATTAGAAATTTTCTGAATATTTATTCATAGCCTACCTACACAACACAAAAATCTATATCATGGATGTGATGGGCTATTCCAGTACTTATTAAAGTAATGATATTATGTATCGAACATCACCTCTACAATCAAATTTGGAGATATGTGCATTAAGGACCTCTCTCAGCTGAGCACCAGAGGCCAAAACACACTAGCAGCAAAGTGTGCCAGACTTCCACGAAATAAGCACTCAATAATTAATTTCATCTTAGTACTCTGCTTATACAGGCAGTGTGACTTTTAAAAAAGAAGCCACCTTCCAGTCACAATTACTTCTGTCACACCTATATTTTCTTCTTTCATTCTGGGGTCTGGAAGTTAAAGAGATGAAACAAATACTCCAAGTAGTGTAAAGAATAAATGTCATAGAACTTTAAAGAAATTTCTTAAGAATAGGCTTCATGACCATTTTAGATAAAGTTCTGACTTCTAAACTGAATATTCCTTATGTTGCCTAAGGGGAAGTCCCAGCAGATCTCACTACCATATCAGATCAACCCTTGACCAACCATAAATAAGGATAAAGGCTGCCTGTATTGCATTAATCCTGAAAAGACTGTTGGTCTCAAACCATTAAATCCTTGGGTAAGGAAACCTTCAGGAAAAGGCAATGTTTGCTTTCTAAGGCCAAAGAGAAAAACCCAAAAAGAAAAGCATTTTTTTTTTAAATTTTTTTTAGATGTGACTGATTCGGTTTTAGAATCTAAAGATTTCTGTAACGTGAGATATTGCGTGTTTTCAGGAAACATTTGTTGAATTCCTAGTTTTTAACCTTTCTAAGTGCAGAGAATTCAGCGGTAAATAAGATAGATGGAATTACTACCCATAAAGATTAGCGCCTATTGAAGGAAAATAGACAAACCAGAACTTGATGAGTTCTATAAAGAACAACTGTCAAGATTCAATTGATTCTTAAGCCAGTGTGTGTGGTTAAGGAGAGATGAGGCTAAAGGATAAATAGAAATTGATGAAGTTAAAAAAAAGTCAGATGTTTAGGCACACACCTTTAATCTCATCACTTAGGATGCAGAGGTAGGTAGATCTCTGTGAATCTCATGCCAGTCTGGTCTACCTAGGGCATTTTTTTTTCTTGTATTTTCTCTCAAAAGCTGTATAGTGAGACCTTGTCTTAAAAAAAAAAAAAAAGTTAGTGAAGAGAGAGCAATATGGCTGTGTACCCCAAAGTCAAGAAGATCACAGCCTTCAACACCCACCCACACGCACAGGTGCGTGCGTGTGCGCGCGCGCGCGTGCACACACACACACACACACAGAGAGAGAGAGAGAGAGAGAGAGAGAGAGAGAGAGAGAACTGATAGAAATCCAGTAAGAAAACAAGAAAGATGCATTTTTCTCTTTTCTTGACTTTTCTTCCAAGACTTAGAAGTGATAGGCTGGACCTGTTCACGTACGAGGTAGTAAAGACAACTTTTGACTTTTCTCTCTGGCAGTCTTTGTGACTTGGGTTTTCTGGATCACCTGATGTTAGAGAATCATCACCTACCTTTCTTTCTGGATCAGTTTTCAAAACACACACTAATTAGAGTATTTTCAAAAGAGTATTATTAAGTGTCAATTGTTAGCACTCATTACCTTGAGTAACCTAATTGCAGGTCTTGTGTGCCATGGCTTATGATCAGAATTCTTAGAGTAGTAAAAGAAAACCAATTAAAGTCAGGCTTTGAGAAATTTGCTAGGGTTTTAAAATATGTTTGACCTTCGATTTTCTTTGCCACTATCTGAAAGTCAAGGAAGTTTCATCTGTTAATGACAGGGAAGTGAAGCAATCATTAGTTGATGCTACTGCCCCTCACAGGAACTGACTCACGGATTTTCAGATGAAACAAGTTTTAAGGAGAGCCAGGAACTCAGAAACCTGTTTCCTTACCAGGAAAAATGGCATCGTCTCATCTGGGTTTTTATTACCCATGATGTTCTCACTTGGTTTTTATGAATTCCTTTTAAGCATTTTTTTTTTCTGTGAAGCATCATTAATGGTGGTGTATATAACTTTGATTCTTTAAACTTTTGGATTGGGGAAGTGGTGTTTTCAAGCTTTTTATCAAATGGTTAAGCATTGGTTCACTCCTTGTTTCTCAAGAAAAGCCACCAGGGTCCAGTAAATTGGAGGGGAAGTCATCTTCAAAGAAGAGCTTATAAGGTGTATTCTTTAAAGGTATTTGGAATTTCTAGAAGTACATACCCGATCCTGCTCCCATCATTCTCTAGCAGCTAAGGGCCATTCAACTGTAGGTAGGGAGTTGGAGATGGATTATGTTCCTAAACGGCAGCATTCAGCCTTCTCCCCAGTCCTGATAAGCCTGTTTGAAAAGTCTCTGAACTCATGGATGTGTCCAGGGACCTGGCTGTGCTGCTTACTCACCAGATCTGTCAATCTGTCTTCCCAGCCTGTCCTCTTGTCTAAGACAGTGTAGTAGGCTGAATCACACTAAGAACTCCAAGGACTTTTTTTTTTTTTTTGTATTTTCTCCCAATTTTTACACATAGAAGTAGGCTGAAATTATGCATAAGTTATAAAAATGCTCATCAAGCCAGGTGGTCGTGGCACACACCTTTAACTCCACACTCAGGAAGCAGAGAGGCAGTCAAATTTTTGAGTTTCAGGCCAGCCAAGGCTAAATGGAGAAACTGTCTCAAAAAACAAACCAAGAAATTGCCCATCAGTAGAATAGAGAAATGCATTGGGATCTCTTCATAGAGTGGAGTGATCTAGAGCAATGATGTCAGAACTAGAGTTCAGTGGGAGAGTGTAGTTTAGTCTTGCAAATTCAATGGACCAAAAAAAACCAAAACAAAACAAAAACAAAATGAAAAAAACATAATCTTGTATAACAAATCTAAAGGATTCATGATAATGGTAAGGAGCAGTAAGAATAGTGGTACTTTTCAACAAAGGAAGAAGCCTACACATGCTAATACACATCTTTAATCTGAGTATCCTAGAAGCAGAAGGAGCCAGTTCTTTATGGGTTTAAGGCCAGCCTGGTCTACATAGAGTCCCAGGCCAGCCAAGGCTAAATGGTGAGGTCCTGTCTCAAAAAGAGAGAGAGAATTAATTTAGAAGGGGTCCAAGTTGGTCGTAGGAGGGCATCAAGTATTTCCATAACTTGTTCTTCAAGGCTTATTGTATGTAGCTATCATGTTATTCTCTTTTTGTATCTGAAATATTTCATGAAAATAAAAGTAGAATTTAAGGAAGGTGTATACTTAGGTCTGTTCTCATTTGGTCATACTCACTGGAACTAAAGCTGGTGTTCATAGAAAAAGCCAGAGGCTTCAGAAGGTCTTCAGCCATGAAGAAGATCTTCAATTGTATAGCTCTTATTGGTCAAGAAAGTATTTTTGAGAAATGCCTTCTAAACTAAGAGAAATTGCACACATACAGCCTCTGGGTAAAGCTGAGACTTAAAACTGGCCCTGTTTGACTTATTTGGTAACACAGTTTTAAAAATAATTGTCATTTTAAGATTTTATGTTATAAAAGCATGAAATGCCACTATTTTTAAAGAGCTAGCTCATGATCTTCCTCAGCCTTCTGAGTGCTGGGATTACAGTACATGCCTGTGCTACCATGCTTGGTCCTGCTATCTAAACTACAGAAAAGCTAGCATTTCTAGGCCCTCCTTTTTAGATGACTGCTGCTGCTCAGAGCTGAGTAACAAATACTAGCTTTAGTTGGTTGGTGGAAAAGGGAAGCTGTGGAGTTAAAAGTGAGTCTGGCTTACATGAGACTCCAGCTTTACTAACAGAACAGGCCCTGCACCAGCCAGGCTGACACAGTGAGACACCCCCCCACCCCCTCCACCTTCCCACCCCCCACCTTGGTCTCAACAAAACAAACCAAAATATGCCTTCTAGGCAGTTAGGCTAGCCATGTAAATTTACCAGAAGAGAAACTAAAATCATCATTTCTGAGGTATTCTGGTTAGTCTTTTAAAAGTGGGTTCATAGCAGACAGAAAATTAGGCAGCCCTCAACTTTCGGGTACAGTGTGTAATTCTAGGACTCAGGAGGCCGTGGCAGGATGGTTTGAAGACAAGCTGGGTTACATATGGCATTCTAGGCCAAACAGGACTAGTTTGTGAGACTGTCGAAAATAAAAAAGATGGGAGGAGAAAGCAAAAGCGATATCTCAGAGATGTTTCTACTCTGTCATTCTGGTAATGCTACCCACAGACCTGGCAAGAAGGAGCAGTTATATCTAGGCTAATTAACTATTTTAATTCAAAAACTGTACATCTGCCTGACTGCCTACTATCAAACTGCATTTGTATGTAGATTTTTCCTTCTTCTAGTGAGTCTGAAGATGACAACAGCAACACGACAAGAAGTCCTTGGCCTCTACCGAAGCATTTTCAAGCTTGCACGAAAATGGCAGGCAGCATCAGGGCAGACAGAAGACACCATCAAAGAAAAACAGTACATACTAAATGAAGCCAGAACACTGTTCCAGAAAAACAAAAATGTAAGTAGACCCCATCTGGAGATGTCAAGGAGAAGAGAATCTTCCTATGGTATTTGTTCATTTCTTTCCTACCTTGATTGAAGAAGACCCATGGAAGGGTCCATCATGCAATTTGGGTAGGCTTGTCAGTTCAGCCAACTACTAGAAAATCAAGCTCAGCCTGTGTTTCTCTCTTTTGGATCAACAAGGTCTCAGTCCAGCCAGTAAATGGTTTCGGCATCCTCAGAAGACCCTGTGAGCCAGGTGAAAGAAGTCATGCCAGTGAGAGCTGTTCCTCACATACCAATGGCCAGCCACTCCCAGCAGTGGTATGCAGTAAAATGCTTTTTCTCAATTCATAAACCAATCAAAGCCTTCTGATTATAAACCCATCTGTAATATGGAAAAAGACACAGGGCTGCTTCCCTAACTTAGCCACGAACTCTTTGGCCAACAGAGTGGTACCACAGAAAATAGAGCTTCACTACCTACTTAACCAAACCAAACATCCAGACACCAGTCATCCAGTTTCAGTTCATCCTGAAAAACCATCTAACACTGACTGACATTCCCTTGGGAAAACTGCCTGGCACTAAGGAGGTGGCAGTCAGTACCTGGTTCCTGTTTCCCCACTCCTGTTTGCTTTTTTCCCCTGTATCCTATGTCTTTCTGGCTGTGTTTTCTCTACACCATGTTCTACCACTTGTATGCCAATTGGGCAGCCTCTATGCTGAAGCTGCTTTTGAATGCCCAGACTTGGTTCTTTTCTCTTTTTTCCTTCCTTTTCCTCTTCCTTCCTTCCTTTTCTTTCTTTCCTCTTTTTTTTTTTTTTTTTTTTTTTTTTGTTGTTGTTGTTGTTGTTGTTGTTTTGGTTTTTTGTTTGCTTGCTTGCTTGCTTGCTTTTGTTTTTGTTTTTTTGAGACAGGGTTTCTCTGTGTAGCTTGGGAGGCTGTCCTGGGACTAGCTCTTGTAGACCAGGCTGGTTTCAAACCCACAGAAATCCTCCTGCCTCTGCCTCCCAAGTGCTGGGATCAAAGGTGTGTGCCACCAATGCCCAGCTTAATTTTTATTTGTTTTGTTTTCTGCTTTTTGTGTTTTGTTTTTCTTTTGGTTTTTTTGAAACACTTTTGTTTAGCACTGGCTATTCTTGAACTCATTATGTAGATCAGGCTGGCCTGGAACTCACAGAGATTTCCCTGATTCTGCCTTCCTAGTACTGGGATTAAAAGCATGTACCAGCAGGCCTTTGTTTCTGACCACCCACCTGAAGAACCTCACCTTGGCCTGGTCATCCATTCACTAGCCCTGTCCCCACCTTTTTTAAAACTACCCCCACCTTTTTTTTTTTTCTTGTAGTTCCTGTCACCTATTGCTGCTCTGAAACTCTTTGTTCTTAGTCATCATTGAAGTATCCCACCAAGCACTAGACTAGACATTTGAGATATATCATCATCATCAAAATAAGGTCCCTCAGAAAGATTTCATTTAGGTAGAAAAATAGAATTTAAAAATCAGGACAAATGATACCAAAGAAACTCTCATAACCTAAAGTACGTTCTCGTCTAGGAATGCCTAAGGCCTCCATGTTTTATTGTTTTGTTTTGTAGTTTTTATATATTTTTATTAAATCATATATATGGACTATCTGTGTAGTCACAGCTGTCCTTCAACTCACAGAGATCCAACCAGCCTCTTCTCCCAACAATGGAATTAAAGGTGTGTGGGACACCACACCTGACCTTTAAAATGTCCATACGTGACAATATTCATCCCAAAACTTCTCCTGGATTCACCCTACCCATCCAACTTCATGTTTTGTTTTGTTTTTTGCTGCCCATATACTCATAGGTGTGGAGCTGTCCTATGTTTGACCTACAGGGCCACCCTTAAAGGGAACAAACTCATTCCCCTAGTAGCGATCAGCTGCTGACTAGGGGTGGAGCCTTGTGAAGGCCTCTCCCTCCTGTGCTGGAATGTTGACTGGCTTGATCTGATGTAGGCCATATATGGACAACAACAGCTGTAGTGAATTCATGAATGCAATAGGCCTGTCATACATGTTTTTAAATGAAAGTCCTCTTGCCTCTTCCTCTGAGTACTGAAATTATAGGCTTCCACTTGTCTAGCTTCCATTGTGCCTTTTTTTGTATCTTCATGTATCATGTATCTGCTCAGATAAATCTTTGATAGCTGAAGGCAGAGATCATGACTCCATGGATATGGCCTAGTGCTAGAGAGACTGTGGAATGTACCAAGGAAACCTGTGCAAGCACACTTGTCTGAAAACTACTCAAGACTAGAATTTTACTTATTTTAATATCATCCTTGACCTTTTACCTAGATTGGCCAAGGATGAGACAGAGGGTTGTATGTGCATGTCACAAAATCATGCAGCAGCCCATGAATGGCTGAATTTGAAGAACTGTAGCCCAAGCTTGTTAGATGATAGAGTTCTAGAAGCCCAGCTCCTTTAGCCACATCTTTGTTAGGGGACTTTTCTTCCCCCCACCCCCAGGTCCTCATGTAGATATAAAAACAGTTTATTATCACCCTGGTTTCACTAAGAGTTTAATAATACAAAGCCATCTTATTACTTGCTCTGAATCCCAGCAGGCCAATGGCAACATGAAAATATAGTTCCAGTGTGGACAGCAGGGCAATAGCTTCTGAGGCCACAAAGGTCAGGGAGTTGAGCCTCTGCCCTAAGGGAATTAGCTGAATTCTCTGTGCTACTGTTTCTGCAACTCCTAGAAGCACACGGGACAAGAACTCCCTTGGAATTTCCAAGTCACAGGGACCCACACTTCACCCTGGGTGTCATCTGAGGCTGATACAGTTTCGGTGCTAACTTGAAGCACTCTCACATAGAAGATCCATGTGCTGGTTTTTTTACTTCCTCTGAATGAAAGTTTCTCCCCTTCCCTGACTTGGCTTTCTGGGGTTTTGTTTTCGTGCTCCTTTCCACTTCCAGAATAAACATCTTACTCTTTTACTTGAAAATACATTATCACAATTTGACTGATTTGGGATTTCAAAAGTCCTTCTTTCCCCCTTTACCAATGAGCAAGACCATTTAAAGTCTAAAATACTAGGTAGCTCATTCTTCAGTGTCTAACTCTTGCTGAAAAGCCAGGTTCGTTTGGAGCAGTAGTCCTCAACCTTTCTAATGCTGTGACCCTTTAATACAGTTCCTCATGTTGTGGTGACCCCCCAGACATAAAATTATCTTATTATTTCATATAATTTTGCTACTATGATGAATCATACTATAAATATCAATATGCAACCCTTCAAGGGATCTCAGCCTACAGGTTGGAAACCACTGCTTTAGAGTCAGTGTAAGGAGGATATGAAATATCTCTGTCATTCAGTATTGGTGGAAATGTAAGTTTGTAGATTTTTGGTGGGGATATAAATTGATGTAAACTATAGGAAGTAACTTGGGAATATTATGAAAATGAAACATGCTTGAACCCATATAACCTCTTTGTCTTAGCATTCTTGTTCTGAAAATTCATCTTAGATATATTGGCATATGAGCAAAAAATTTGCATAAAGATCTGTAACAAAATTGTTTATGATGGCAAAAGGCTGGAAATAACCAGAATGCCCATTTATAGCAAAGTGATTAAATTATAATAAAGCCTTATGTTGAAGTTTTGATAATCTTCAGGAAGAGTGCCTCTTGATGTCTGAATATCAAAAGAGCTTCAAATTATGTCAATGAAAAAGCAAAACTTACAGGTTAAGATATCTGTATAGGAAAAAGCTAAGACCAGTGAGATGGCTCATTGGATAAAGGTGTTTAGCACAGAAGCCTAATAACTGAGTTCAATCCCTAGAACCCACAGAAAGACAGGAGGAAACCAATTCCACAGAGTTGTCATCTGACCTCCATACAATCACTGTGGCATGTTTTCCATGGCATATGCACACCCTCACAATATACACAAAATAATAAAATGATAAATCATTTAAAAGGGGTAATTCTCTGTATTTGAGTTAATATATTCATAAACTAACTTTGGAGGAATACATAAGAGGGTTAACTGGAAGATAAGAGACTTTTATTTACTAATATCAAGATTCCTGGGTAGTAAACTGAAAACGTCAATAAAATCTGCACTATATTTTATATACTATTATAATGATACTAACTGCCTCATTTATTTTCCCCTTAAATAGCTCACAGACCCAGACCTGATTAAACAGTGTATAGATGAATGCACAGCCAGGATTGAGATTGGACTGCATTACCGGATTCCTTATCCAAGGCCAGTAAGTATGGCTGCAGTGAACAGGTGTTGGGCACTTATCCTTGTCAACCCAGTTATTTCTAAGAATGGATACCATGAAGGAGACTTGCTGAGGAGCTGAGAACCGTTGTAGGGAGCTTGTTAGAAATAAGTTATCCTTGTATGCCACCAACCCACCATAATAAATCACTGTGTCAGTAAACATTTGGTCCCCTCTTGTGCAGCTTCCCACTACTTGGAAGGGAAAACCAGCTCTCCTGTTTGTAAAGCTTTACTTTGGGTCTTTACCCATCTTTATGAAATGCTTTTATTTTCCTTATTACAAAAGGCAAGCTTTTTAAATACTAAAAACTAAAGTTAATTTTTAGTTAATATTTTAAATATTTAAAGGTTACAGAAAGTAGAAAGTGAAAATTGTCCAAAATTCTACCTGATGGAAGAGACCACTGTAATTTTTAAATTACCAGTTTTTCAACACTTTGACTTTAGAAAAGCAGTTATTTGGTACTTTATTAGTTCAAGCTAATTATCCACTAATACATTATTAGTTTTAATAACACGTGCACACACATTCCTTCACACATGGAATTCTGGGTATATTGTTTTTGTTACCTACTTATTTTATCTCTACTGAGCATCTTTGTATACAACTCTACTTCATTCCTAAATGTTTGTGTTGTATGCTATTGTAAGGATGTGCCATAATTGTACAAGTCAGGGTTCCTCAGAGAAATAGAACCAGTAGGAAGGAGATTAAAAGATATAGACAGATGGATGGGTGGGTAGGTAGGTGGATGGATGGATGGATGGATGGATGGGTACATTGATGGATACATGAATGCTAGGTGAATGGATGGATGGGTGGATGGGTGGGTGGGTGAACAGAGATAGACAAACAAATCTGGACATATAAAGGATGTTTCTTGTAAGGAATTGGCTCATACAGTTTGGGGGCTTAAGACCCAGGAGAAAGTCAATGGTACAATTCAGTCTGAGCCTGAAAGCCTAAGAATGAAGGGGGCTAATGATAGAAATCTAGGGTGGAGACAGGCAGGAGAAGATGAGGTGTCTTACTCAGTAAGGTGAGCAAGAAGCAAAAGAAGTGAATTCATCCTTTGCCATTTCTTGGGCCCTACTAGGATAGAGGATGCCCCTCCACATCCGGGAGGGAAGTCTATTGAATTTAATAATTCCTGTACTAATCTTATCTGGAAATACCCTCACACAAACACCCAGAAATGACTCTTAATGGGGGTCAGTCACATTTACTCATGAAATTAGCTGTCACAGTCATAATGTAAGCAGCTTTCTACCTTAGTAGGCATCTGAGTTGGCACCAATGCCTGTCATGCACTGAACATCTTTGCATGCAAACTGCTTTTCTCTTTTCCTTTTTGGATGTCCATTTTGCTGAATGGATCTGTAGTTCTTTTCCTGTGTCCAGGAACAGTGGCATAGATGGGTACAAGATTCTTGCTTCAGGTCCAGTCTTACCACTTAATGTGTAACCTTGATCAAGTCATTAATTTCTCTGAGCCTTCATTTTTTCAACTATAAAAATTATAATTCCTCTAGCCAGGAAATGTTGGTACCTGCCTTTCATCCCAACACTCAAGAGGCAGAGACAAGAGGATCTTTGTGAGTTCTAGGCCAGCCTGGTCTACAGAGTGAGTTCCAAGACAGGCAGGACAATACAGAGAAACCCTGTCTCAAAATAAATAAATAAACACACACACACACACACACACTCACTCACTCTATCTCTTTCCACATATATGTGTGTGTGTGTGTGTATACATACATATATATATATATATGTCTATATACATATGTTATAAGGATAGATAAGTGAATGCAGAAATATAAACATTGAGTCTGTGGTAGATTTAGCACTTAGAAACAATAAATCCTCAATGAATAAAAGTTGCACTAATGATTATGGTTCTCCATGTCATTATTCTACTCAGATCCATCTGCCTCCAATGGGTCTTACCCCACTACGAGGTCGGAGACTTCAAACCCAGGAGAAACTGAGAAAACTTTCCAAACCAGTGTATCTGCAGTCTCATGATGAAGTTTCCTAATGGAGAGGACAGTTGACTTTTGAGAATGATGAGCTGACTCAGTTTTGAATGTAAATCAGGCAACATGACCTTCTTAATTAGAAGCAAAAACAACACTTCTTTTAGACCTCCACAGTTGGTCCTCACCAGTGACATGTGGCTGTAAGCATTCCCAAGGTTTTTCAGGGTCTTGCTGCTGCCTGACTGATGACATTGGCCCTAGAAATCATGGACCTTACATCTTAACTCGTCATCCTTGGGAGCAAGTCTAAGGCTTGTGGAGGAGGGCTGACGGCACTGCCATTCAGTACACATCAACTGATGCAAAGGGATTAGGTGGTTGCTGCAAGTTCACATGGCTACCAAATCATGTTGCTCCCAAAATAGAGGTTTATCCACAAGTTATTAATTTGCTTAAAAGTGCTTTCTGTATAGAATTTTTCATGGTCTCCTGACTCATAATTTCCAGATTATACTCCCTTTATAAAGAGCAGCTTTGGATTGTTTTATTTTGTTGGGTTTGGGCAGGGGATGTCTTTTGAGACATGGTTTTCCTATGTAATACTTGCTGGCCTAGAATTTCCTATGTAGACCAGACTGGCCTTGTACTTGTGTTAATCCTCCTGCATCAGCTTCTCAAGGGCTGGAACTACAGACCTAAGCTACTACACCCAGCAGATAATGTGGTCTTTTTAATGGAAATGTGGTCTGACATCCTTCTTCTCCCTGTTGATATGGAAGTACATGCCTTAGTTATATGTTTGCCTTATCTTAAATGTGATTACTTAGGATGCACTTAGGATCTAAACAGCTTCCTTGACATTTATATTGCTTTAGTTTTATTCAACTTTAACCTAATTTAAACATACAAGGTCTAAGCTACTTCCAAGTCAAACAGAAATGGGACAAAGAGAGCATGTGTGGAGTCTGGTGGGAGTTCACTGCAAGCTGTTTGCACATCAGCAGAGAGTGGACCTCACTAATAAAGACAAATCTCTATCTATTTGGGCCCCTTTGTGTTCTTTTCCATAATGAGCTGTGACCCTTAGAAACAGCAGAAGGGCTGTGCCTCATGTGAGGAGAAGCATCCTTCTCATGTTCAGGGAAAATACTTCAGGGATTGGCAATAGTAGGGAGAACAAATTTTATACTGTGTCAATTAGTGAAATAATAGTATATGCACATTTGATACAAATGCAGTGATAGGCTTTGGTGAGGAAAAAAATGTCAGTGTATTAGAATGCATACTGGCTCTTCTGTAAGCACATGCCCCAAGCTAGCTTGAACTGGAAGAAACCGATCTGCCATCTCTTTGGCTCTTCTTCCAGCAAGTCTCAGTGTCAAAGCTTTACCCTGATTGAGGATGAGTTAATGTTTAAGTATCTCCCATGAAGATGGGATATGTGAACTCAAGCAACCCAAGTTCATGTGGTAATCAGCCAGTGGGACATCAGAATAAATCTGGGTGTGCTGAACCAAGTGAGATCCAACTTGTCCATCTCCATCATGCTCCCTCTCTAAGGGGCTCAAGGAGACAAAGTGATTTTTGACTCTGTGCAATTTTGCCTTACTCTACTGACCATTAGGAATTACCTTTCCCTCTAGCCCTTTTCTCAGTGGAAGACTGCTTAATTACTTAAGTACTTAATTTGAGAACCTTCTATAGCCAGGGGTTAATGGTGCATGCATTTAATCCCAGCACTCGGGAGGCAGAAGCATGCGGATCTCTGTGTGTTTGAGGCCAGCCTTCTCTATGGAGCAAGTTCCATAACAGGCTCAAAAACAATGCAAAGAAACCCTATCTCAAAACAAACAAACAAACAAAAAGAGAACCTTCTATTAATGTGAATTTTCTATGAATAGCTTCCTTTGCAAAGACGTATATACTATTACATAAAACAAAGGTAACATGTTTGGATGGATGAATGGATTACAGGTGTGTACTACCATGTCTAGCTTCTATGTCTTACTCTTAATATCATTTCCCCCCACTTTTTCTACAAGTCCATTAAATTCTTATATTCTGTCTCCTAAAGGCAAAAATTACCTTCCTATGTCCCTTCCCTCAATGAAATTCTTTCCTGTCACTGACAAGAACTGAACATAACTAACTGCTCACTAGCTAAAATTTTTTTAAGGTCAGGGGCTCAGGGGCTGAAGAGATGGCTAGTGGTTAAGAGCATGACTGCTCATCCAGAGGACCTGGGTTCAATTCTAGCTACCCACATGGCTGCTAACAACTGTCTATAACTTCAACATCTGACACTCTCACACAAACTACATGCAGGCAAAACACCAATGCAAATAAAATAAAAATAAATTATATATAAAAAAATTAAGGCCAGCTGGGTGGTGGCAGCAGACACCTTTAATCCCAGCACACGGGAGGCAGATGCAGGTGGGTATGTCTCTGAGTTCGAGGCCAGCCTGATCTACAAGAGCTAGTTCCAGGATAGCTAGGGCTACACAGAGAAACCTTGTCTGGAAAAAACAAAAAACAAACAAACAAAAAAAAATTTAAGGTCTAGGTCTAGCTTGGTGATCTGATGGCCATTCTTGGTTTCAGCTTGACCACATCTGGAATTAACTAAACTAAGCATCTGTGTACCTGTGAGGGAGTCCTTCCTTCCTTCCCTCCTTCCTTCCTTCTTTCTTTCCTTCCTTTTTTCAAGGCAATGTTTCTCTATGCTCTGTCCTGGAAGTCACTCTGTAGACCAGTTGGCCTCAAACTCAGATCTGCTTGGCTCTACCTTCCAAATGCTAGGATTAAAGGCATTTTAGCCACCACATCCATCTGAGGGATTTTTCTTAATTAAATTATTTGAAGTGGAAATATATACCATTTGAGGTGGGAAGATCTACCTTTAATTTGGGCCACGCCTTCTGGTGTCAGCCTATATGAGGGACATGGAAGAAAGAAAGTTCTACCCTTTGCCTGCCTACTCTCACTCTTGATTTACTAGCATTAGAACCTACTTCTTTGGGATTCCAATGTATACTGAAGACCAGCTGAGATATCTATTCAGTTGAACTGAACAACTACTGGATTCTCAGACTTTCCATTGATAGTCATTGTTAGACTAGCTGGCCCGAAGCCAGTAAACCACTCTAATAAATCTATATATATACACACACAGAGAGAGAGAGAGAGAGAGAGAGAGAGACTATTCCACGAGAGAGAGACTATTCCATTAGAGAGAGAGAGAGAGACTATTCCACTAGAGAGCCCTAACTAATAACACCAGGTTTGCCTGATGTCATCTGCTAGCTATTTATTAGCAGAGCTTGCTGCTTCTCATTGAATTTACTGGCCATCTTTGCCCAAGACTCTAGCCTCTAATTCACCATGATTTCTGAAGAACATTTTCCCTTTCCTAGGAGGAAACATTATGACCACATTGACCCCAGCTGAGAGTGACCTCAAATTTAGGGCAATCTTGGTTTTCAAAGTAGAGGAAATATTTTAAATTTCAAAACTGTAATCCATCAAACAAAAACATTCTGTCCTTTGACCCTTGAAGAATGAGAGAGTCCTTGCGTCTCTCAGCTTGTCAATGCTGGATGAATTTGGAGTTAGGTAACTATAATTAAAATTCATTGGTTCTCTTAGAAGCCCCCTCATACCAGTTCTTCTACAGCCTGCACTATGACTTACCTACCATCCCAAGAGTCATGGGCTTGGATCCTAACCATCTTCCTATCTCATGTGATTGATGGACTTATTTGGGATGATACAGTCCTAGCCATCATTCTGATTTATCTATACATTGAAAAAAGTTATATTTCTTTCTTGAAAAATACCTTTAGTGACAACTTTGAGGAGAGTATACTTTCTTACTGTCTCTATTACCATACACTTATTCTTTCTGGGCACTTGGATAGCTTATCTCAGGATTTTCTTGGCACCATGAAGAAACTGAAGCTAAAGTATTTTGGAATACCTTTATTTCATTTGCTGAGGCTTGCCATATTCAGGAAAAGTCTCTGGCCTTGAATTGAGGCATTTGTTTCTAGCAAAGAGGCAGAAAATTAAGACCATATACATTAAGATTCAAACAACCTGTATCTTCTCCATTCTGAATACCCTAAATAAAGCTATCTAGAGCCTAAAGCTACATGAGAGAGTCAGGGAAGAATACCTCTGGAATTAGGTGTTTTTGTATCTCTGGATTTTCTGGAGAGAAACAAAGATGGACAGAGTCATGTGGCTGAAACTACAGTCTCTTCCAAGAGTCTACATCAGAACAGCCAAGTCCTTGGCTAGGAGGCAGCATACATGGACTCAAGAGCCAGAGAACCTCCACCTCCCTGTGCAATGTGAATGAGCAGTGTGGTACTCTTAGGCAGGTTCTTTCCTCTCTCTGAGCATCTAGATGGTGGGGACAATTATTTCCAGGCGCAGGAGTGAGCAAATTAGCCACAGGCTTGTCACAAAACCTGTGCACAGTAGGCAAACAACAAGTAGGCTACTCTAATGTCAGAAGTTAGCCCATTCATGTAACTGATAGAAAAGCAATTGAAGCTAAACTGGGAATTGTTGTTTAGTGGAGTGCTTGCCTAGAGTGCTTAAGGCTGTGGGTTCAATCCTTGGCATTAAGTAGTAGGTGAACTTGTACCACTGACTGCCTGGATCCTAATTAGCACCAGTAAAGTAGAAATAATGATAATCCGTACCTCCTAAGGTTGTGTAAGACCTGTGGTTAAAATACATTAAGTGGAGGCTGGAGTGGCTCAGTGGATAAGAGCACTTGTTGCTCCTGCAGAGAACTTGGGTTCAGTTCTTAGAACCCACATGGCACCTCACAACTATTTTGTAACTCCATTTCCAGGGATCATATACTGTCTTCTGACCTTCTTGGGCACCTGTACTCACATACATATATCCATATTCAGATACACACTATATATATATATATATCAAGAACCTTAAAAAAAAGAATCCAAGCCCTTCTAAAACTCTCATGGGGCCTTGATGGCTGCACAAGTGTGTCAGTCAGGGAAAGCAGTGATTCCTATCAAGCTTAAGCCAAGTGACCACAAATCTAGGTGGACAGTTACACTATCTGTGTTCCAATTTAGTAGCTATCTGATTTGGGGATATCACCTTCTCATGGCTTCTGCTGCCATAAAATGAAGACGATAATAATGATAATAACCTACTTTATAGGGCTGCTGTGAAATTTCCGGCTCTATTGATTATTATATCATCATCACCTTCATACTATACAATTCAGGAAAGAAAGGCTACTTGTAATGGAGAATAAAATGCCATTTACTCTCAGTTTTGAGACACTTGCCATCAGTTATCCAGCTGGCACAATGAGGCCACACCTCGGTTTATCCAGTGCTTCTGGGGCATGTCTGTCGGAAGTTCAATGGACAGGACATAGTTAGTAGAGTGGCCAGTGGTAGAGAGGGTGCCTCTGCGGGCACTTGTCTTATACACTGGACACACATAAATGTCCTGATGCTG